TATTGGTATAACTTATGACTACTAAATAAAACATAATTATTAGATTTAAAAAATGAAAAAAGAAATTGATATAAAATTTTTATTTAAATCAAAATGAAAAAAGAAAAAATAACAAAAAAATAATTAGTCCAAATGTGTTAATAAAAAAAAATACATAAAAAAAATCCAAAATCAGAATTTTTCAACAAGATCTATTTTAATAAAGAATTTAAAAAGAAAATGAAACTGGAAAATTTATAAAATCATTCAAAAAAAAATGAAAATCAATTTGAAAATGTAAAATCTTCTACGTGGCCTATGGTTATCAACGACTTAACAGCATTCCATACCAACCGATTTCAACGTCATGTCACAAGGAAAGATAACTATGGAGGTCTTTCTTCCCTACTCGCGCCTCATCGTGGATGGATGACAACGTGGTCGATATAGGCCATATACGAAATGGATAGGAAAAACGACCTTTGGGCACAGCTGGGTGGGTGGTGAAAAGGACTATTTGATATTATAAGCCAAATATTTTACTTGAACTTTGACACTGATTCGTCATCGTGTACCCCTTCATTTGCATTAGCCCCGTCTTGACTCTCCACGCTCACGCTCGCTTTCCGATGCTGGCACGAGTTCTCTTTTTTCTTATCTTTTTCGCAAACAAATTTAATATTATGTCGGGAAACTCTATACAAACATCTGACAGACCTCGCAGAAATACAACTGGTAACTGTATGGACGAGGTGATGGGGTCTTAACTGCTCCACACAAGGTAGGGAGGCAAGTTAATGAATCGGACGAAGACACTGACCTACTTAGTGGTGAATAAGTACAAGTTCACGACGAGTTGACCAGGCCAGTAGTTGACGTCACCTTGACCCAAGCTGCACTGGGTGTCAACAAACCAAATGTCAACATAAATCAGCTAGTTGTGAGAGAAGATGAATTAACCTCACTTAGAGATGAATTGCAGAGGATTCGTACAATTAGAGAAAAGGCTCGCATAGAACTGGAGATATTACAAGAAAAAGTCTAGTTAGAACTGGAACTGCAACAAAAATAGTATCCCTACCTACTGTCACCAACACGCCAAATCTACTGCAACTAAGTTTACGAAGTCGAAGACAATCAATTATCACTGCCTTGGACATTCTCAATTTTATTGGCCTTAGCCCGTGCCTCAATATGACATCTACACCTTTCGCTCCAAGGTATTATTTCGAATTGGTAAAAAGAAGATGCTAGATAAAGTGACATTAGAAGAGTGTGGATATACTAATACCCGTATTCTAGAAATCTTTCATAAAGATATCAAAGATATCGGTGGTTATTTGAAGTATACAGGTAGACATTTTCCGCTACGCTTCTTATGTGGTACTCGGTTTTTTTGTACGACAATGAGTACCGCGAGAGGCAGGTGGACTATCATTTTGAATGAGGTACTGCTTGCCCTGATATTCGAGATTTTAAGTTGTTCCCAATACGTGACAATCCAACAGCAAAAAACCATTCGGGACTCAACCAACTATATCTACGCCAACAGCAACCAGAAATCAACGTGGAAATCGGATCGCAGGATTAAGGGACAATTCCTACCAGACAGTCGGGAGATAATAACTCTTGTAGCCGACAGTGCCATCCTTGTGCCATTTGTATGTCGACTACTCATTCGGCGATCGATGGTCATCAATCCAATCACGATCGGTCAAAAACTAACCAAAGCCTCAAGCTTAGATATTCAGGCACAGACTCCGCCTGAAAATGATTACAATTCCGCTGGGGTGCTGCGAACTCGACCAGTTTCGCAGGTCTTGCAGCCTCTCAAATACAAATGCTTGACTTCTGGTTATATACGTTACATCGAACTCCGCCACTGGGGACAGACTGACAGTACTCAGTGGGGAGAGTGGACAACTGCTGAGGCGGAATTCAAATTTCGGAGGTGTAATAGTGGCAGGAATCTCCTAGAGCGTCTTAGAGGGTTCTTTCAAGATAATTTTAGAAAAAATGAATTGATTTTGTGCATTCTGACACATATATTGAAGAGAAAAAGGTAGAAATTTAAATTTGTTGAAAATAAAGTTGGGGTACAAACCACTTTTCTAGGGGGGCAAATGACAGTAGGCCTACAGTAACAATTACCAGTATGAAATGTTCAACCTTCAGATATACACTTCTTTTGAACTTTTGGGGGCAATACTGTATAAGTATAATATTACCAAGTTTCGACAGGGCAGCGGCAATATACGTCCACATTTCCTTGTGATGATAACCATGGGCCACCATTCATGAGCCATGCGCAAAAATGACACGCAAATTCGTGAGGCGTACCATATTTTTGTGTTCAAAAGGAATAAATAGAAGTCTATATCCATAACATGATATTGGTGTCGATCAAAACCTGTCAACTTTATCTTAAAAATGTTGTCAACAGAATTTTGAATTTCGATTTTTTTTAAGCCAGTTTGAATTTTTTGAAAATTTAAAAGTCTACATCTCGTCACCTTGACATTCATTGACCTAGGAATTTTCAGTGTTGAAAGTCTTTAACCTTAGCTATCTATAGATATGCTGAAATTGGATGTAAAACATCACCTTCCGGGTTAATTGCCAACCGAAAATCACTTTCATAACTTGGATGGCTATGCTACATTCCCTAATAAACACTGGTGCTTGATTTTTTCATATTATTAATGGCCTCAAAATTAACTATTTGATGATATATTACAATAAGGCTTGAACATGTTTTAAAAAAAACATCGTAACACCAAATTAATGATCCCACATCAATGTAGTTTTTCTCTCTTTAGCAATATGTGACATGGATGGTTTGCTATAGAAATTCAAATAATTAAATAGGGCTAAATTTTGTGGTTAGTCACTCTATCATCCAGTCCCTTTTTGTCTACGTATAACTGCGTCGAAAGAGAAGCCTGGACAAGTTGCTTGATATGTTTGTAATTGGTCGTTAAAGACCAGATTTTGACCACAATGGTGTTACATAACATTGACAACATAACAGTTGATATGAATCCCTCACCTTGACCCATATTTCATGAGTAACAGACTAGACAACAACTGCAAAATACGTCACCTATTATGGTGTATAATGTTTGATCTATAAATAAGTCGAGAAAAACACGTTGTATGGATGCCCAGTGGTATAATTATAATTATCATTTCATAGTATTTATCTACTGACAATTCCTTCACAGAAGAGTGATTAAAAAAATAGTGACTGACAAAATAAGTAAAACGTAAAAGTAATTTATTGCTAAAATTCAATGAAACAACATAAGAATATGGCCCACATTGTGTTCCATAGAATTTATTTGCTGACATGGAATCCGCTATCCGTGACTTTTTTCACTGGAATATATTCTAGCAGACGGCACGTGGAATTCCGATTACAGTTTAGGATTACAAGGAAATTTGACCGATAAAAATGGTGACATTTGGTAATAATTGAAATCCGCCATTTTGTATATGTTAGAAATAGATAATAAATTTAACATTGCCTTTAGCCCGCGTTCAACATGCTTTATGTATTCACGCTGAACCACAACCGTATAATTATGCTTACGATCCTCCGATTGATTATGATAACTCCGCGGATTCCGAAGATTCTTTTTATATTCAGTAGCGTCACTAAATAAGTTGTTTACTCTACATGGTAGAGACATGAAACAAAAGTTAGTTGTTTACTCTACAGGGTAGAGACATGAAACATAAGTTAGTTGTTTACTCTACAGGGTAGAGACATGAAATACAATAGTTACTAATTTCGGCCAGTTGTTCTCGGTGTTCAACTTTGGTTATCCGGAAGTTACGTTACCGCCATATCGTAGGATTAGGTAGGTATTATAAGTACTTAATTAGGGTCTATCAAGTAGGTGTTAACTACCATAGATCATTTTTGTTTTGTTTACTGATCTCCGCTGATTTCATTGTGTGGTTCAACCATGAAATCTCAGTTGACCTTATTGTGTGGTCCATTATTGAGTATATGTTGTATAGTTCTAGTTATGTTTATCCTTTGTAGATGTTAGCTTAGTATAATGGTGCAAGCCTATGGGAATAGGGGGGCCACATATCGTTCATAGGGGAAGGTGGAATGCGATTTAAACGAAGGATTAAATGAAACGTTCTGGAAAAGATTGTGTCTTTGTCTTTACTCAATCAATCTAAACATAAACAATAATACACACGAATCTATCGATGTAAACAACGTTTCTAGACTATAAATGATGATTAGCGATTCACAGTTCTATATTCTTACACATAAAGTTCTTGTTGGTTTCACAGTTCATAAGATAGATAAGATAGTTCACAAGATAGTTCATAAAGATAGGTAAAAGACGATATGAAGACGCCAGGGCGTAACATAAAACCCATCACATTTTTCACCATTCACTTCGTCCATGTTTTTCAGGAAAAAACTATGACGTCATCCTAGTTTCGCTTTTAACTAGCTATTAAACAGAGTTCTGTCCCATTAGTCACTAATGATTAAGAGGTGTATGTGATATTTGGACATTACATACCGGCCCCTATCGTATGAAAACGATGAATACGATATTCAAATACTAAAATGTTCAAATTCTATCACGATTCACTATATAAAACTGTTCTAATCAAAATATTGAACACAATTTTTTAAACAAACACAAATGTCAAATCACTTCAGACAATAATCCTAATTGTCTGATTCTAACAAAAAACATAGTTTATCAATCGGTCTGATCAAAATTGAAGTCTTGGTTTTAAGTTTCGCACTTCTTATAAGTCCGTGTTTATCTGGATACACCTAAATTACACGTCCCATTAACCAGGATCCTCTTGGAGCTGATTAATCTACTATAAGAACTACGTCATCTTTCTGGATGTTCCTAGAAGGTTGTAACCTTTGCTGGAGCATAGGTAAGTATTCACGAGCCCACCGTTTCCAGAAG